AGCTAATTCAAAAGGTAGCTAATTAAAGTATATTCTCATAATGACATTTTAGCTAAATTAAGATACTGTTTCTAAATTAAGATTCTGATTCTATTTTTGTGTTGAGCCAAATTTGCTAAAATGGCAGGTAGATATTTCAAAGTATTTTACAGTTACTGTATTAAAATTGCTGACTATCGGTAATTTTTTCTGCACATTTGGAGATCTTTACTCGATTGGAACAAGTTGGGTCAAACCATCATAAAAAGTCTGTCTAATTAATAGCAAGGCACTTTGATACAATGCATTAATTTATTTCGTCCAGTCATATTAAATTCTGTACGACAGTGAAAAATTATCCAAGCAGATTACCGGTAAACAAAATGTATGTAAAATTTTGCAAAAGTCACTGATATAATTTTACGTTGTGCGACTCAGGGAAATTGTTACTGCTATCAAATTTCTTAAATTTGTTCGAAATTTACAGTATATTCCAGTCTTCAGATCCTGACATCTCGTATACCGGTATGTTGTTTATTTCTCTCTACAGGCTAGCAGCTCCTCAGTGATAGAGGGCAAAGGTCAACCTAAGATCACATCGGGTACATGGAATCCACACCACAATTGTACACAAATAGCCACAGCCAATGATACCATAGTACGGGGATGGGACCTCAGGTCTATGAAGTAAGTCACGTGACTGTCTCCTAGCAACCAGTGTTTTTCTTTTGTCACCTTATATCTACATTATGTTTTCCATATTTTTGTGTTTTTTGTTGCTTGGAACCGTGAGCTTCACCGGCAAAGAGTATGTATCTCTCCGGAAATTTGAAATTTACTAGAAATTGTAACCATTGTACTACATGTACAGAGCATATCAACAGCTGAGGACCCTAAAACTGTCTTGAGTTCATTCTATAATCTTTGAACTAAAACATTCAGAAAATGTTATATTATAATGTCATCAAAACAAACTTTTTTCAATCTTTTAAAATTAGGTCAAACTTTACTAAAAATACTCATACTCATAGGTATATCAGATCAGTAACACAATGCATCCAAGCCTTTAAAAATCACAAATCAGTTTAATTATTTTTCTGCACATTGTTTACCATGAATGAAATGGTTTATGTTTTTAATAATTGAACGTTTATGTAATAAATGGTTGATATTTTGTCATATTTTAAAACCACATCAAAAGTTAAAATTGATTACAATTGAATGAAGTGCACATCTCTCAATTTAGTTCTATATGATTTAAATTTATAGACATTTTTGTCTCCCATGTGCGAACTTCATGCGTAGATGCTTTGGGCTAATGCACAGATTTTATTAGGTTTTGGTTTAAATCCATGCATATTAATTACCTAGTTTGCATGATAATTAGCTAATTCTTAGCTGTTCTATGATTATTCCACTGATATCTGAAAAAAAACCAAAAATTGGATTTTGATGAAACTTGATACATAGATGCTGTAGGGCAATGCGCAGACCTGATTAGTTTGGGGTAAAAATCTTTGCATACTAATTATTTAATTTGCATAATGATTAGTCAATTTACGGCTTTTCCACTGATAACTTAAAAAATACTAGCCATCACATTACAACAAATTTTGGTACATAGATGTCATAGGACAATGCATAGACCTGGTAAGTTTGGGGTTAATACCCTTGCATAATACAAAATGTAATTACCTGATTTTGCATAATTGGTAAATAGCTTTTCCGCTGATCATTACGATTCAATGAAAATTGGTTCATAGATGCTCTAGGGAAAAATGGTCACACTTCTCTTGTCATGCTCAGGCCAAAAACAAAGATAAAAATTGTAATTGAGTTCTCTATAAAACATTTTTTGGAAAGACAATCCAAGATTCATTCGTACATTTCATACACAATATAGTTTATTGGATACTTTTTACTTGGTCCTTGTTAATAACTTCTCTGTTATCATTATCTTATTATCAGGCAAGTATACTGTATAGAGAACGCACACGGTCAGCTCGTCAGGGACCTGGAGTTCAACCCCAATAAACAGTATTATCTTGTCACGTGTGGGGATGATTGTAAAGTCAAATTCTGGGATATCAGAAACCCTAGTGAAAGCTTAAAAGTTTTGGCCCACCATTCTCACTGGTAAGTCAAAACCTTTATGCTCACCATAAGTTATATTTTAATGATTCAGTACTGTAAAATGACTAATTTTCACTGGGTTTAAATTTCGCTGATTTACCATTTCAGGCATATTCAGTGGGTTTTAAATTCACGGTTTTATCATTTAGATAATGTGTTCTATGTTAAATGTTACATATTCACTGGGTTTTAATTTAGCGCAGTCAGCGAAATAAGCAAAATTAAAACCCAGTGAATAATTAACCCCTTTACAGTATACATACATGTATATGTTGGTTTATATGCACTACTAATAGAGAAAATATGGTGCATAAACTATTTGTGTTCATAATGTGTCTAACTCACAGGATCTATAAACGTAT